TTCCAACGCAAAGCATGCTTGCCGCCCTCTTCTCCACGTCGGCCGACTGCCTGGAGCCCGATGCTGATGGTGCATTTTGACTCGGCTCGTAGTCAAGAGGGACAGGAACTGTTCGGCCCGTCTCGACCAGCTCGAGGCGGTTGTCTGGGGCAGAGGCCATCTCGCTCAGTGGACGACAACTCAAACAACGAACAATGCAAGTTCAAGAGCTGAGTTTCGCGGGTTGGTTGACCTGTTCAGAACAGCTCACTGTAATTGAAAGCGCAAGCTTTTCATTTCAACAAACATGGATCTAAAGGCTCTCACCTAGGCGACATCGGATTGGGCCTCTCGGCAACGCCTTGAAAGAGTCATCGCACGCAAGCGGTCTGGGGGTCATGAGCCCTACAGAAAGCGATGTCCACGCCCTTCGGGTGGAGCCCGCGGCCGCTTATGGGCTTCTTGGTATCCTAGTAGGGTCTCTGCTGTAGGGCTGTCATCTTCCACTATGTGGGTTCTGGGGGACATGAACCTGGTCTTGCGGAATCGATTACCCCAACGCCATCTCACTTCCTTACGCTAGAGCCATCCAGACGCCCGGGCGATGTCGGCCGGCCTCTTGCCAACGTCGCCGTTGGTGGGTATCAACTTTGAGTGAGTGAGCTCCCATTGCCCGGCTCGGGCTTCATAGCCAGTTGAACCGCAACTCATACGGCGGGATGCTCATAGGCTGAAAACTCATTCTCGGCAGCACCCGTGAAAAGAACCATCGTACATGTTCACATCAATCGTGCTGCGCCATTCTTCAGTTGAAAGAAGCTTGCACAAAGTGGTTCCTGCGAAAAAATGACCATGCTTGAAAAGGAAGGTGATGCTATAATTATGGGACTAACCCGACAGCGCCGAAATTCATGGGATGCTATGCGTCTGACTAAAGGGATAAAAAAAGCTTGCAGACTAGATATAGAGAAATTCCCTGTCGTGTTCATCTTCGCAGTCGCACAATCGTCCATCATTCGCCTAGATGGACATCACTAGCAGAGCTCCTTCTCAGATTCTGACGGTGTCGGCTGTGGTGTGACCAGAACACCTGGAGTGCTTGTGCCAGAGTCGAGTTTGTCAAAGTCGGAACTGCCAGAGCTCCTTTCCGACTTTGTGTCATCGTCTGGCTTGGTCTGACCTGCGATCTCGGGCGCGTCGTCATCATCACCATCTCCCTGGACGGACGAAGGAGCCGGCGCAGGTTCCGGCTCAGCCTCGTTGTCGCGCTCTCCTCCAGCGTTGACTTGAGCGTCATCTAGGTCGGCGCCGCCCTTCTTACCCATGCCGCCCTCCTCGAGATTGCCACCCTCTAGGACCACCTTCAGCTCGAGATCCTCGTCCATTGTGTAGACGCGAACACCGATGACGCAGATGGCATTCCACGGGTCAGGTGCATTCTCGTCTTCAGACTCGTAGATCTCGGCTTTGGTCAAGGGAGGTCCAGCGGGTTTTGCCCTGGGCTTGCGCACGAAGTCATCGTCGCTGTACAAGAGCTCGTGGTCCTCAATTGGGGAATCCGATGAATCGCCGTCCGAGACTTCTTCGATCTTTTTGGCAGCCTTCTTGGACGGCGCAGGTGGTGGAGTTGTCGCCTTTTCATCTTCAGCAGGAAGTCTCTCCTGGGTCATGACCTTCGGGGCATCCTTGGCATTCTGGTCCTGTTGTGTCGCCTCGTCCGCCTGATCATCTCCGCCCTCATCGTCGCCCTCTTCTGCTTCTTCCTTGGCCTTCGTGGCCTTGCGTTCTTTCTTTTCGAGGTTCTTGGCCTTCTGCTGCTTATTGACCTGACGTGTGAGGCGGCGCCTCTCCCACTGCTTCCGGCGCTCCTCTTTGCGCAGGGCGGATGCCTTCTTCTGTTCCTTCTCCTTGCGCAGGCGGGAGACCTCCTCGAGATGAGCCGCGGCCTTGCTGTGGGCCAAGTCATAGGCGTAGCCCACCTGTGCAAGCTTGGCGTTACCACTGCGGTGCTTGCACTCGCGCTTAACGACGTCCTCAACAGAGTCAAGTTGCGTGTAGCGCTCAGCTTTGACGCTAATGAAAATGCTGTAGTCGCCAGCTGGCATGTCAGGAATCTCGATCGATACGGAACGGCTCATCAAGTAGTTTCCGTGAGACCGGACAATGTAGTCCTCGGCGTTTGGTCGACCCTGCTCATGGACGCGGAAGTGAAGCTCAAACCGGTATTGGCCGTGGAGTCCCTTGAAGTACCGGTTATCCAGTTGGGACAGGGAAATGACCATTGGCGAGTCCTTGGTGAGTTTGACTTGGAACTTCTCGTTGTACTGTGGCTTCCAGGGAACATCGACGCCGATCCATCGTTGACAGCACCTCCACTTGGGGTCGTTGAACAGCCGCGTCCGGTCGAAATGCTGGAACTTGTTCAGGAAGTCCTCGTAAGAGATCCAGAAGACTGAATCGTTGCCGAATTGATGGCCGAGCTCTGCTTGGATCTCAGGAGTCCAGTCCCGAGAACCATCGGACCAGGCTCCCTCCCAGATACCTTTACGAATTTTGCCCCACGGGTTCCTTTTTGGGTGTCAGCTCGCAAATCACACCCGCAACAGAAGTTCGGGTCATATACCTAAGCTTAACGAGCCGCGTCCCTGTTGACAATGTTTTGGCCTCCATGATCACGTAGGCATGACCCTCACAGATACCGACACGATCACCATATCCACATTCAAGCAACCCCGTAGAGCAGCCGAACATGAATTCCGAGTTCACCTTGGACAATTCATTGTCCCAGAAGCTGTCGAGATCCAGAATATCAGACGTCAAAATCTCCGCCGTGACGCCACCAGAGAGATCTTCCAAGGCCTCGCCGATCCAGCCGCCCACCAGTGAAGCATAGTCGCCGTGGGCTTTGGCGTAAGCCTTCTCAAGAAGAGGGACCCAGGTTTCATTCTGGTCGATACACTTGCCAAAGTAGAGGGCTTTTGATCCTGTCTGGTACGTTTGACGGTACACGCGCTCCTGGTCTTCGCGATCAATCTGCTGGAGCAGCTCCCGCTGTTTACTCCTCGAATCCCAGGTGGGTGACTTGAGATAAAGCTTATCGTCGATGATGGAGTAGACCCACTCGCCGTCTTGTGTCCTGATCAGTACCTGATACAATCGATCCGAATGCCGGCCGCAACATTTACATACCTCTGTAAAAGACAAAGCCGTAGATGCCAACACGTGTGTCATATTCCACACAGATCCGCCGTAGACTCTCGGGCTCATTGGCCAGGGCCGTGAAACTGGCGATCAGCCAGCAATTGCCGATGCTGCCTTGCTGCACGTCCCTGCCGTCGACATTCTTCATGAAAGTCGGCTTCTCGAAGATCTCGTGAACTCGCTTCACAGCCTTGGGCACTGAGGCGCTGCTGTCGGCGAGGGTGGCCTTGTTGATCGACCAATCCGTGGCACCAAGCCTGTTGAGGCAGTGTCCCTTGTACCATTTGAGGTCCCAATCCTGTGGCGCGGGCAGCCGCGTTAGCGTTCCGTGCTTCGTGCTCCGTGTTCGGCCAGAACCTGTAGGGGCGAGGGGTGTGCTTCTGCTTACCAGATCCCAGCCAGGGTCCCTGTAGCGCTGGTTTACCCTGCGGCACTCCTTGATGATCTTTTTGACCTTGCGGCGGCACTCCTCGACGGCTCTCTCGTAGCCCGCGCTCATGAGCTCATTGGGTCTTTCGGGGCTCACAGGTGGCGGCACGGGGTCGAAGGGAAGTATTGCCAGCGCCTTGTTGAAGGTGCGCTTCTGAAACGTCTTCCAAATGTGGTTGATCGACTGTTGTGGCGGCACCTTCTTCTTCTTTTTCACCTTCTTGTCGGTGGTGCTCGTTGCAGAGGCGGGCGGAGGCCTCGGCCTCTTGGGGTCGTCGGACTCTTCGGAGGAGCTGTAGCCGTGCATAGTGGCGGTCGCGGCTCGAGTTGGGTTGCTGACGTTATGTTGTTGGATCGCTGCAAGAGAGAACGTAGAAACAACTATAAAGTCTGCCGTTGAAATGACAGCGCATGTGTATATCAGAGGAAACACGAATCTGGACACCTGTCAATGGTGCTGCCATCAGTCATAAAAGACTCGCTGGAGGCACGACTCACGCAGTAGCAAGGCCGATGTTTCTTGAGCTTTGACCAAAAGCGCGAAACCAAACAGAGAGACAAAAGAGCAACATGCGACGAGTGGGCAGGGCCTTGAATCGAGAAACAGATGGTCTTTATATGTGAAGCCAAACGGGGCACCAGAGCGAGCCTTGGTGCAATCAGGGGCCACACTTGGCATCCAGCGCGCGCCGCCCTTCTTGTCAATGGCTGGCCACCCATGTAGAGTCATCACCCTGTCAGTAAGCTGGGTCCCACACCGCCGTGGACTGAGAGGCGCAAGATGTGTAGTCCGCCATCCAGGTTGCCATTTGTGAGGGGTCCTGGCGCATGGCGTTGGTGTTTCCGTCCCCGAGGTTCAAGACAAGAGACAAGCCATATGCCGGCCAAGTGGGCCACCAGCCAGGGGGTAAGACTCCATCCTGGCAGGAAGCGGGTCGCAGCGTTGGAACCAAGGGTCTTGTGAACAGGACACGGACAACGAAAACGGTTAACGATTCGTGCTCGAACCGGTCGGAGGGAATGGCGGTGGACAAGGCGGGAGGTCTAGATTCGGACCCTCAACAGAGCCGCGAAGTGGAGTACGGTGTTAGGTGGGAAGGAGGCAGGTCCGACAGATAGGTGCCTACCTAACTCACCTAGGTACCTAGGTTAGCAAGGCACCTGAGGTACTGTAGGTAGGTAGGTAAGGTACCTCTAACCACGGGCGGTGGGTTTCCAGGGATTGTGCAGGCAGTACGGATCCTCCCCTTGCCTTTCCAGATTGCGCCCGTGTCCGTTCCTCTCACCACAGGAATTGGATGGGCCGCGTCCCTCATGACGAGTCCAGAGTCTCGCCTCGTCCTGGGGTCCTGGGTATTCCAGGGGTCCTGCCAGTGGCCCCTTTTAGCGGCTGACAGGGGGCAATGGCCCTCTGGTGGGTCTCCCTCACGATTGCAGTCGCCGCCAGTTCCTGGGGTTAGGGTATCTTTGAATGTGGGAATTCGTACACTTGCCAGGGTCTTGTAGTGCTATTCATCAGCTTTCCTCAGTTTTCTCGAGTGGAGGGACTTTGAAACAGACACCGAAACGGTCAGCCGGTACAGGAGCTGACCCGTGAATTGCGCTGTTGCCTTTTTGCCTGCTGCTTGCCTTATCCGAGAGTGTCATGCAGCCGAGTATTTGTTGTGCATCTTCTTTTAGTTTTATTATCTATCCCTACTGGAATCCCTACCTATAGCCTAATCTAACCGTGTTGGTCCTTGTGAGGGGAAGCGAACAGCACAATCAAAACCCGCTTGGTGGATGGGCCCTCAAACCCGAGCATACGAGTCAGCCGCCTTTGCTCATTCGAATGCTAAGTAGAGGCATCCAATGAGCAGTTGAGATTATCAAGCGATAAGGGACAAAGAGCCGTGTGACTTTCTCGGCAGCGTCAAGGAAAAGGTGGCTCATCATGGCGAGAATGCATGATCTCGGGATGTTCTGTTGAATGATAAGAAATATGTTCTGTATTGCGGGGATGAGCCTCTCCATCCGACTTCGGCGGCGATCCGATAGGAGATCAGGCCCCGGAAAGGAAGAATGGGGCATGCACGCGTTGGTGGCTGGCAACCAGCGGGTGAGCTGGGCCAACGTGTTCAATATCTGCTCGACGACTACAGGTATGCCAATGTTGATTTAACAGGTAGCCACCTTGCCAGACAGATTGCTAAAGTTCCAGTATGCAGCTCGAGTAAGATGCCGCCCGCCTCGTTCGTTGCCTGCAGAAACCAAGGGGAAACCCAATTCGGACTGGGCTGACACGCTTCGCGGCGAAGTGGTAGGCTGTCCACCCAGCCTATAGACGAGATGGAACCTTGACAGACTGGAGTCTCGATGCCGTCCTTTTGCCCCTGTGCGTAGCTCTGTCGGACTGGCCATCGAGCCATCCCGAGCAATCCGGTCGCACACTTGTTGCCAGTACCGCTCCCCGTCGCGTTATCGTTCGGGGCGTCCGCTGAAACGATGACCAGCGCTGTGCTTCCGAGTGCAGGTGCTTCCGAGTGCAGTTGGAGCATTCATGATTCGCGCCGATCGTCGGGAGGGCAGTGTACCAGCCCGAAAAGCCGCGGCTAGTCGTGTTGCGGAACCTAGACACTGTACTTTTGGTACACCCGCACTAAATGGACCCTGATCGGCGTTGTGGGCCTCGTGAGAGGAGAGGTGTGGAAACGGGAGACCTTCTTTCATGCATAGGAGCCAATGTTGCCAGCAATACCAGTTTGCGTACTGTATGGGTTGGTTTCTGTGCAGATTCCGGAAGTGATCATCTTGCTGAGTGGTCGCCCTGGTCGGGCAGGTTGGTCGACAATTGCCAATGGCTGGCTGAGGGACGGGATGTGCAGGTTGCATGGTAGGCATGTATGCGATGGAGAACTGATCACCGCAGGACCTGCTGTTTGTGGGTGTGTCATCCAGCGTGCTCACCGACTCGCCGTGCTCACCGCGAAGTCGTTTTGCTTGGATGTTGCACATTTTGTTGAATGGCCACCCGCCCACCAGCTTTCCATTCAGGGGCCACTCTGATGACTCGCTATCGGTCAATCTGATTCAGGTCAGACAGTGCGTGTGCGATTCGTCTTCTCATTTTTCTTCTGGCGTGCTTCTAGGTCAGAGACGGCGCGAGGCGCCAAAGGTTTCGGCGTTAAAGCGGCGTATCGGAAACATTGGACGAGACGGAGAAACTGATGCGAAAAGTATTGCATGGACCGACAGTCACCAGGGCGAAGAAGCAACCTTTCTAGGATTTATCACGATGAAAGACAATGCCAACTGACCAGTGGGTGCCGACAACGTCCACACAGGATAGTGTGGGCGAGTGTACAGTTCGCCAAGCCAGTGCTGTCAAACTCCACTACCTTCTTTGGGTACCCTGCCACTGTTCGCCTCCAGCCTCCATCAATCTTCACACCTATCCTAGGCATTTTCTTGCAATTTCGTTGATTGCTTTGAGAGCCTATCCGCTGGGAATGTCGGGAAAGTTGCTTTCTGAACCATGTGCGGGCTTCAACCCTTTGGCTGCAGTGGTATGTATTCATCCACGGGGTTCATTGTTCATCAGAGCAAGACATGATTGGAGTTTCACTGCAGAAGCCACCCATGGGGAGTTGATATGAGGGTCGGAGACCACCGGGGCGTATGAAAGGGCTGCGAGGGGCCAGAGGCCAGATGCATTCCAATCTCCTACCTAACACTTGACTGCGGATATCACCTGCTAAAGGCCTCTTTATTCTGCACATCCCTCGCTCTGACACGCGCATTACACCTACGAGAACGCTACGATTCTGAAAAGCAGCCTTTCTTAACTGATCACTACTCGAAAGACAGGTGTCTAGACATATACCTGATCACACGAATGATTTAAGGCAAGGTATCACGATATTCTTATAGATCCAAATTCTATCTCATGGAGTTCGTCGTTCTCTAGGTCCATTGGGCTTGTAATAACTGCTAAAGGCTTTCACCTGATATGAGATGAACATTTCATTTCCATGTTTTCTGTATCGGCGAACAACCTTTGGCACACATTTCTAGCTATGGTTTACTGTCTACTTAAAATGAACGTTCCTTGGTCACAATATCGCCCTCGTTGTAATGGTGAAATCAAACCCCCTAACCAAGGCAGTTGATGGCGAACTCGCCAGCGGCAAAGTCGTCACTGCCCTTGACGGGAAGCCAAATCTCAGCAATAGTGCCGCTGGGGAAGAATTCGACCTCGTAAAAGTCAAATAGAGGATGCCAGTGCACCTGTCCCGTCTGACCGTTGTTGCAGGGCACGTCATACTTCATCGACTCGCTGACCTCGACACTCTCGGTCTCTTCGACCGACGAGCTGATACCGGCGGTGAACATCTTGAAAGCACCGCCAATCTCGGCGCTGACCGACGTCGTTACCGAGTATCCTTCAGTTTTGGTGTAGGTGTAACCGACACCGGGCGACATGCGGGGACCACGGTCGTAGATCCCTGGCTGGCGAACGTTCTTGGCCGTGAAAAGGATCAGATAGTCATCGTCGTCATCGTCTCGCTTGCTCTTAGTCTTTGACTGGACGTTGTCCTTGTTGTCGGTCGTCTTCTCACGGGACGGCTTGCGGTGGGTGGCCCACTCCTCATACTCTTCTAGGG